AAATTTTCCCGATATATTCTTGTATAAAGAAAGAAGCAGAAATATTTTTCTTTTTAATTTTTGCTTCTTACGTACTTTATTGACAAAAGATAAAATAATATTATAAACAGAAATTGACTATTAACGAGATAAATAATACTTTACTTTAAATAAACGCTAAGAACTTATTTAATAATTTTTTATTATTAAATAAATTAAAATACCATTCTAAACAATTGCAAATAATAACATTTATTAAACGTTATCACTATTAGATAATTATTTTTAGACTTACACACATAAAATATTTAACTTAAGTATGCAGATCAAAAATTTCATTGAAACTTTAAAGAAATGGTGAAATATTTTTATAAATAAAGAGATACTAATAGGAATTGGTAGTAAGGTAGGTATATTATACTAAATGCAAAAAGTTACAATACATTTGATGTTTGTTTTTTTTTTTTTCATTTTCCTTTAACATTATTTCTTTTTTTGTCGTAGTAACGTTGACCATGGTTGTACACACAAACTGGCCTGGTAGACCGAAATAAAAATGTATACTACAAAAATTCACAACTTATTATTCGCCATCCTCTAATTATTATATTGTTATAATTATTTGTGTTTCTTCATATTCCTTTCTTCGCTCATTATATTTATCTTTTTTTTTTATTATTATTAATATTATTATTAATAGTCACTTAAAATGAAAACATTCACACTAAAAATTTGCAGAGCTTTCGTTCAGGTATAAAGAGGTGATCTCGCGCATGCGTGGCTTCTGAACACTTTGTTTTTAATACAGTTATACATGAGATGCATATTGATATATATATTTATATATATATGTACGTATATACCTAAAGGTACAAATGAACTTACTTAAAAACTGTATTTACATATTGAAAATTTAACTAAAAGGAAAGATCAAAGTGCTACGTTCTACTTGTCGAAGTTTGAGAAGGAGCTCGTTAAAATATTTAGCCATAAAAATTCGTAATCCCTTTTTACGATTATTCTACGATTTAAAGAAAAACTTAGCAACTGATTCGATGCTTAAAATTATAGTCATAGTGATAATATCGTCATTGTTTGAATATATAAAATTTGAATATACTGTTATTTGTACAATTGAAAATATTATATTTTCAATTATATATTGAGATAGAAGGTATATAAATATTTTAAATCCATATTTTAAATATTAAGTTGAAATAAATAAATCGTTATTTTATGATAATCATTTTCATTTTTAATAAAATTCATCTACGAACTGGCTGGAAAATTCTTAATTTACGAGCATACTTCGTGAATATTTTAATTATTCGACGAGACGAATAATTTGGCCAACTAATTACGCGAAATTACCTCTTTATCCATGACCGAGACAAAGCAGCATTATCGCGATATAATACAAAACAATGTTTTAGAAACATTGAATTTTGTTACACAAAATACTTATGTTTTACCGTGTGAAACTCTGCTTAAATAAAATTACATATACCTTTATAGAAAGGTGTTACATTAAAAAGTATAAAACAAAGACCACACGTCGTTCGGCAATGATTCTGCTTTATCCCGGACATAGCACTTGTAACGCATTCGATTACAAACTATTGCGGATGTTTAATGTAGACTACGTAACAATTTAATGGATTAATAAGAAACGTAAATAATTACTTTTCACATGTTCTCAGCCTTAATATCGTAGCATTTTAGTCGCCGTGCACTTTGTAGTTTTTTTTTTTTTTTTTTTTTTTTTTT